ATTTGACACTTGACACGATACCTGACATAACATTATATACTGGCAACGTTGTATTCCAAGGGGGCTACAATTAGCCGCTTCTCAAGTGAGGGACGCAGTCACGCGTGGTTCAAGCGTTGGACGAAACTCAAAAAAAAGTTAAAATAAGCTGATTTCAACTATTTTGAACGAAATCGGTGGCTTCCTGTTGTGTTTTGTATGGATTATCGTCGGAAAAAATCAGATGCCACTCTGTACGCGAATGCACTGGGCGGCTCGGTCGGCGGTGGTACCGACGAGCATCGGTACTCGACGGTCAAGTTGTGTGTCTTTTCGATCAGTTTACGAGCGCGTAGGGCCGTATCTTGCGATCTTTGCTGCCGAAGTAGTACCGTCGCCATGTATTGGGTACCATTTGAAGACAATTCCGCCGCAGCTAGGACGGTTCGGTTCGGTTTGGTTGGGCCGATTTACTGCATACTTCTAGGCAGCGAACGGGCACCGAAAATTTTTCGTTCGCAACGACACCGGCACCCGATGGCCTTGAGATAAAGGCCCCCAGTCGGGCAGCGAATTAATCAATTATTCGCGCATTCGGGCAAAAAATGGGCTCCCGATCGAAAAGGCATAAATCAGGAGCGGACGGAGGCCTTTGGAGCAAATGCGACCCGGCGCGTTCGTTTACATAAATTTCGAAACGCGACCGAACCGTAAATCTCCGACTGATTGATTGTGCGCCGCGGTTCCCGGAATTCGGGACCCATCGGCAGAGGACACAAAATCGCAAGATGCAAAATGCAAATCGCCATTGACTGGAATCCACCGATCGGAGGCAGCAGAACTTTAATAAGTCGCGGAATTGAAGCTAAATGGGGCACTAACCTAGCATTTTGCTGAGATCCGCGTTATGCAAGTCGGGATTTTCATCCGCCAGCTTCTTGCGTTCCACCTTTGCCCACACCATAAACGCATTCATGGGCCTCCGGATTCGCGCCTCTTTGCTGGCTTTTTGGCTCTGATTGGGCCCCCCAAGTTTGTGCGGGAACCCGCCCCTCGAGCCATACACGGGCATCGCGTCTGCGTAGGTCTGCTGACGCGCATACTCGTATCTGAAACGTGAAAAAAGACACCTGTCATTGAACGTCACATAACAGCAGCCAACCCTTACCGGTTGTCATATGCCCGATAGTCCCCGTAGGCGTCCATGGCGTTGCCAGCTGTCCACATTTCTCCCGCTTTGGGGAGCGCTTGGGGAAGCACCTGGCTGGCGGGGATCATTTCCTGCGGGTCCCCACTGGGGTAGTCCTGGGAATAGCGACTCAGTTGGTAGGACTGCAACAAGGGGGAGGGCGAGTTCGAGGGCGACAGGCAGCTGTTGTAGTGGGAGGACTGCGCTGATGGGGACGGAGTGCACGCATGTTCATCTATCAATCTGAAAATTGATTTGATAAATGCTATTAATTTTACAGCACATTGGCAACCGTGGAATCAAATATGTCAGCGCTATCGCGCTCGTGTGGTTAGTTTTTCAATTGTGCGCCTCAAAACTTGAATGTGATGATGAATATTATGAAGATGAAACTCTCTATCTAATACGATGGGGCAATTTCGCAGCAATTTAGAAAAACGAAGATTATCTGGTAGAACCTAATGTTTGAACATCGGTAAAAATTCCAAAATGACTTGACTGAAGTGAAACAGACAGTCTAAAGTTTTCTCAATTGAATACTGCTGAAACAAGTTTGGATTCTACTCCGGAAATTTTGCAGTATTTTTTTATACTCACTGTTTTCATATGAACGAATTTTCAGTTGAAAAGTTTTAAATTTTTACCAAAACCCAAAAACCATTGAACTTAAATGAGGCGTTCGGACAGTTTAAGGTGAAGTTTCTTTCATTGAGTCGGTTTGAAACAGACGCTCTTCTCATAAATTTCCGGCTTAGCCCGTGATTGCTAGTGTAGTAGGCCTTTTATTTGACAGCGCCATGTAAGATGCGGCCAAACTGGCAGGCCTACAAGCGCTAAATCGCCGGTTATAAAAGTGAAATTGCGCAAGGGTTTTCGACAATTAAGAACTTTCTGTGCAGGACCAGAAGGGGATTTCAAAGTGAGTTAGATTGGGGAAGAGTTCGGCAATTCAAGCAGTAGTAAAATGACGCCTTCAGAATCGGTTTAAATTTTGAAACTTTCAGTTCTTTCCAACTTGTGAAAATTAGAAACAACTCGGCTGGTGTGAAGGACCAATTGGAAAAGGTGCCAGCATACATAAAGCAATGTTGCAAACTGCCCGAAAAATCCGATTTTTATTATTACGACTCTTGCAAGAGTGTGCTTTGATGCAACCACCGGTTTCAATCGTACTCTCCTCTGTCTCATTCACACTGATTTCAATGCCAGCCGAACTGCAATTGAGGTTGCAATCGCCGCCCAACAAACATCTCACACTTCGCAGCGTTGCTAATAATAATTAATGGGAATAATCAATAATATTTAGGTTTTTATCGAAAATTTCAATAGGATTGCGTGCCGCATGAATGTCTTAATTAGGCGCGCAGTGACTAGTTAACGATCGGCTTGACGTCGGATTGATTGATGGCGTCGGGGAGTTTTGCAGTGAAAAAATCACTATCTGCTACTTTAATTAACACCCCTGTTGCTTAGGGAATTTGAAATTGAATTTTGGTTTACAGAATCCAAATCGAATCCACTGACGCCTGTTGTAGTGCCATTGCTCAACTCTACTGAAATCAAGTTGCCTTATCTTATCGTCAAGCAATAGTCATTCGAGGTTTCGTATCAAAAGTGCCATGTTTATTCGACGTTTACTGGAAAAACAATAGCGCAATAACGGCTGGAAATTGGCCAACAGTCAACACTTTAGAAAATTCTTGTGACATTTTAAATCCAATTGGGACAAGGGCGACTTTCTTTTCCGTCCGTTTAACTGTCAGTGTCAACGGTAAAGAACTGCAGCGATTTATAAAAAAATAATTCAAGCATTTTATTTATTGACCAGCTCTCCGGGTGACGTCATTACATCGATAGCTTATCGCTTTGTCGATTTCCCAACTAGTATGCACCTGTGCGCCTTATCAGTGCTTGCACTTTGACAGGTGAAACTAGTTGAATGGAATGTTCGCTCTTGGAATTGTATTGCCGTTAATTATCAGTTTTCTTGGGAATTGCAAAGATTCATACACCATTGGGACCACCCTGTAGGTGCGTTGGACGGACTCGGAACGAGATCAATGTCAAAAAAATGATCGCATGTCACTCGTGACAGTTGAGGTAAACCGTTGGTGGATGTTTGTCAAATGTAGGTGTGGTTGCGGTTAAGTCGCATTAAGACGCATTTTATGGCCTGCGCCAGTGAAAGACTGAGCGAGTGAGAGCGAGACAGCAAAGAAAAAAAACTGACTTTGCCCGGTATAATTTCATTTAGGTAGGGTATGACTTGCACAAACTTAATTTAATCCTGAACGGGCGATCCCAAAGAGGACCATCCAGCTATGAATAATTTGTCTCGGCCCATTGGCGTCGCATTAAAAATCGATTTCTTCAAAATATCGCGCATTTCTCCAGTTTCATAACTAATTGCGCAACATTGTCACCGTAGTCTGCAGCTGAAGTGTCAAGACTATCAGTATGTGTGAGTTAGATAGAGACAGCGAAATATGGCATACACAGGGTTGTCAATATAAGTATCTACCTAGGGATTTTCATGTGTTTATTGTAGACAGTCAATGTCAATTGGATGAGCGACGGCGCCTATGGTGCGATCAACGCGCGTATTTAGTCGGTATGTCACAACATGGGTGAAATTTGTTAACCGGGACCCGTTTTTTTTTTGGTATATTCGTTTGGTGCCTTTCTCGAAACTTGATTTTGATTAATTATGTCGAGAACCATTCAGCTCGATATGACGGCCGCACGGGTACCCACTTCGGATAGATGAAAAATCGTTGTCGCCGGTTCCGAAATGCCGATAAAAACCGAATGATGTAACCCACCTTTTGGTTGAGGTTTAGGCGCACCTCCTCCTAATCTTTCGCATGTGAAACTCACTGCGATTAATTGCCCGATAGGAAAAAGGTCAATTGAAGTGACATTTGAAGGTAGTCCACACGTCAATTTGGGTATGTGACCGCGCAAACAATCCTGGTCGATTCACCAACGATCCGAATCTTGGTAGTCAAGAAGGGTCTTTTTTTGCAGACAAAGTGATTCTAAAGTGGTTCGCATTGACAAGAAAATTAAAATCAAATCCTGGGTTCTTCAGTCATTTATTGTTCATTTATCAATTTAAAAAAACGTTTCGGTGTTTTCCACGATCATCAGTTTTAATGTGTAGCGTTGTTGCTACTTTACGCCTTGGCATGTATTTGGAGACTCCAAATACATGCCAAGGAATTGAAACACAGTCAAGAAAGTACGTACAATTGACAAGAAACTCGGCTTAGAATACTCTTAATTTAGGAGGTTTATTGCTTAGTTTCTTCTTTACATACATTTTTAATGACTAACCTAGCCAACCCACTACTTTGAGAATAATTTAAAAATTCCCAGTTTGTTCGGTTTTATTCTATTTTTTTCTTAAATTCGAAGCCTCTATTTGCTCTATTTTGGGTGCTATGATTTTTTTTAATGAAATCCAATGTCCAAAATCGAAAATAAATCACAATAGAAACATTATTTTAAACAATTTGTCCATTAAATCGCCAGGAAGTATCGAGGCTCGATTTGCTCTATTTTGGCTACTATGCACTTTTAAGTAAAATTATACACCAATTCGGAAAATAAGTCGGAAAATCTGGCGTGATTAAAATATTTTAAATTCTCAGGAAATCTCGAGTCCGAATTTGCTCTAGTTTTGCGACTGGGTCAATCCCATCGAGCACAAATTCGAAAAAACTCTCCAAAATGAAACACTCTCAAAAATATGGAGTGATTCAATTTCTCTCCCCTAAAAACCTCATTTCTCCTTTTAATCCTCTGGAAACTTCCAACCTCCTCTTGCTCCAAATTCTAGACCACAAGCATTCAAACGTATCTTGCCGGCGTAAGGTCTCAGCTGAACCTTTCTTCTCGATCGGCACCCGAGGTTGGAGGAAATGGTACTCGTACCAATGTCGACTAATAATTGATTAATATTGCTTTGACTGTGCAGGCGGCTATTTTTTTTCGCATTGACATAGGCAACTTGGACAGACCGACCAGATAACGTCGACCATTGTCTTGGTACGGTACCACTTTAAGTTCGAAGCAGACCCAAATGAACCCATAAATTCAATTTTGATCCAAAGCTGACAAAATGTGGAAAATTCAAAATTGGCGCCTTTGAAAGCCGATACGGCCCGAACTTGCGCGATCATCCCCCGAGGGTGTCCCGTTGCAGCGGTGCCAAGAGCTGTAAAACTAACGCTTTTTAAGGGAACAACAACAGCACTAAAACTCCCTGGTCCCACCAGTGAATCATCGACCAATAACTCAATCGAAATTATTGATTTGTAGTATTTATTTATGCGGTAATTAAATAATAGTCTACAAGGCACGCGGTGTAGAGTTATATTGTTGTTGAAGAGCTGACACTGATGCAGTGTTGCCGTCGGTCTTGGCTTTTTTGGCTGATTAGGCGACGATAGAGTGCTGGTATTACACGCACAGTAAACGGATGTTGTTTGTCTTCGGCACTGTCTGGATGATACAGCCGTAATTGCAACCAATGCAACATTGCAAACCGACTTATTTTTAATAATATCGTGCCGGAGCGTGGTAACGATCAGTTCGGTTAAGCTAATTTCTAGTTTTAACCTTCACTTTTCGCATAAATTAATCGAGATAAGATCAATTGCTGTATATAGTAGGTATGTACGGTGTATTATATCCTTTTTCTAGCCGGTTGCGCCGCTGGCTAATCGACGAAAAATCCCCAGTTTTTTCCTCAAAATTTTGACCGAATAGTCCGACAGACTTCTTGATCATTCCATTGCCTTCGACTGTTTGTTTACCCAAAATTGTCAATGGAAAAATTGATATTCCTTGCCGTGACGTAAATCGGACGATTAACTCGCTATCATTGTGATAATTTACATGATTTATCGGATTCAATTCGAGCGATTTTAAACGTTATTTCGTAAATAAATGCTTGGGGATAATGGCGCTGAGATTCCGAACAATCATTTCGGATTAGAAGGGTTTGATTTGAATAAACCGATGGAAAAGATGAAAGGATTTGGCAACGGTGAAATCAACATTTTTTGCGGTGCCACCCTGTATGTTTCTGTGTCAAAATGACAGCGCTAGTAGGAACTCGCGACTTCAACTGCCGATGGTGGCGCTGCAAAACGTCAAATTACTCGTTGTCGAGTGACAGTTGAGACTTGTCAGACTTGTTTATTTATTGGAGTTGATGACGTTTATAACATGAAACAATACTTTCCATCTGGATCTCTTCCTTCAAAAGCTTGCAAAAGTTGGCTAGAGCAAACAAACAAAGCAAATAACAATGAGATGTAAACACCAATGTCAACAAAACAAGTGTCAAATTACTACTTAACTTGTAGTTATAATGTTAGCCACCAGAAGGCATCTGGTCTTTTGAACTCGCGAATTTTAAATTCAGCTAGTTCATACAGGGTGAGCACATAAAAACAAACTATTTTTTTGCAAACTTCGCCCTTTGTTGCAACGCCGCTGCAACTAATTACCAGCAGATTTATATGTTTTGAATATTTTAATTAAGCAACAAACCGTGCGCGTCCCGACAGGAGGACGATCAGCCTTCCACACCTGTCCATTTCGCAACGATTTATCGCGTCACGATCGGGGAATTTTCGCATTTTTCCCCTGGCAACCCCCATGGCTAGATGGTGGTAGCAGTGTTGCCGCTGTTCATCAATTCTCTCGAGATTAACCGCTCCCCGAAATCCCAAACCAAAATATTAACTTAATAGTATTAAGCGCCAATATTGACCGAAGCAATAGTTTTACGATAAATATTATCAATAAAATTGATAAGATATTCGCAATGGCTCACTGTGGCATGTGGTGTGTACACAAGGTAGTCGAGCTTGTAAACAAACACCTAATCACTTTATTAATTTATTGATTTTCGGAATTACTCGTCGGTCAATTGTCGAAATGGAAAACGTCATTAGGTGGACAGTGGCAACAATGTCATTATCACCATGAGCAAGTTAGGTGCAATCCATTAATCGAATTGGAAGCTTTATTGGCGTTCAATACCCAGATACGGGGGGTTTTATCGAATTTTCTCGCCGAAAAAAATGTTCGCATTGTGCAACGATAATGCTATCGTCCGCTTTCCGACGATTCACTGTTGGAGAATTTCGATAAATGCACATTTATCATGCAAATGACTCTGCATTCTGTCTGATGCATCACCTTTAACGGATGCAACCAATCTAGTTGGCATTTGCCTTAATTCACATACACTGATCTGTCAAAATTTGGCAGCTAATTGTCACACTAAGGGGTGTGTTTTTGTTTAGTTGGATACATCTGATGAGCTGGCAACGTTCATCATTAAAGGGGGCGGGGCCAATTGACGTTTTTCGATTTTCGGGACATTGCGACTATTTGCCTACTTCTGTTTCATTCTTGCAGATGGCACTGGACCAATTTATAGAAAAATGGCACTATACAATCGACATGTGCCATTCAATGGAAGGTCAACGTCAAACGGAGCCTTTCAAGATGGTGAGTTCTGCATGTATTTATTCTATTCAATGCTGGATCTCTCAGTGGCAAACGAACATTTGCCTTGTGCCAGTGTTTAAATATGTTTTTTGCGGCGTTTGAGAATTGAGTAGTGCGCCTCGAGTATAATTAGATTTTTTAATTGAGGGGATTCATATTTATTTGCGTTAAACATTGGCAACACATTAAAGTTGACAATTGTCAGGTCACAGTGCAAACGCAACTTATCGTCTACTAAGCTAAGCTCAACTGTCAAGTACCATATGTCAGCTGTCATTTTTGTGTATCATCAACGTCAGTCGTTGACAGAGAAAAATCCGCAGAAATAAATCTGAAACCGGGTGTTTCTTCGACGGTGGCTATCGGGTATATCTCGGAAAGTACTGGGCTTGAAAATTCAAGGAAGCAGTTCCTATTTGAAGTCATAAGAATGTTGCATAATTGAACCAGACGATTCGAGTGTTGCCAAACGGATATTTGAAGCAAGCGCGACGCGCCCCAGTTAGTTGGTTAGTGAACGTGCTATTGATTCAAAGTTAAATGGTAGTGCGATTATTGTTGGTTATGATTCGGGTTGTGTTTATACAAAACAGAGCGAGTTACTAGAATATTTCGTACACCAAAAATTGCTAAATGCAGACAAACTGTGCTAAAGACAACGTCTAAGCCGTGGCTCGGCAGCTTTGTTGGTTGCAGAGATAGAAATAATGTTAATAACTATTGTATTTCAAATGTGTTTTTGTTTGAAAATTGTGAATTGAAATAAATCTCCCAGCTAAACCTCCCATATTGAAAATATTGTTCAGCGATGCAGAATTGAGCGAATGTTGGACTTCTAAAGGAAAAAAATATCGTATTATCAATGCTGTTGTCGTTGTTGTTGTTGTTGTATGAGTGATTGGCTCAGTTGTCATCTGTCAACACTAGGCCTAGACGAATGGTACCGTGTGGTAGTTGGATAAGTCAACTTTTTCACCGAACGCGATCAAGTTACAGATGTCATTGTCTGTCAGTTGTGGTGACGAGGCGAAGACGAATTAGCAAATATAGTTATTAGCCATACAAGTACGGCTGGTACTCGGTACGGAATCTGTCATTGCGATGCGGCGCAAAAAAAACCAGTTGCAATCAGGTAAGGCCAGATGAGACTTGACTCGTCCCGTCACATCGATCATACGATTTATCGCTTTTTTTCTTTGACGGCTCTCTGTATATCTGAGCGAGGCATTGGTGTATGCCTTCGAAGGGTCCAGGTGGAGTTTAAGGGCCGGTCGCCATCTACATCCAGAGCGGAAAACTGTTTTTGTTGCCTGAACCGACCAATCTTGAGCCGATGTTGACGAAGAAACTCATCCATTTTCACGAAATTCCTCGGTTGCATCGTTTCTTCTTCTGCAGCGTCTTCACGGGGCTGGGAAAAAGCGGTAATTGGCGACCATTAGCATAGTTGTAGCCTGATTTAAACCTCGGCAGTGCAGCAAATGTCTTAATTATGAGTGGAGTGGCGGGCGCGAATTTAAACGGGCTGTTCAGGCCATTTGTGGCAGCGCAAAAAGCGAACGCAGTCTCCGAGGTGCGGACGTGATTCGACTTGGAATCCGTTCATCGATCTGCTGGGATCAGATCCGGCCAGATTGCAGGCCGTTTTACCCCCGTTCACGCCCGCTCACGAAAACTTCCAAACCAACCCCCGTAGCATCTAGGGTTTTGGGGTTGTTATGGCAACCAGACCAGCATCCCGATATACAAGGGCCAGTGGATTTTTACTGTTTTAATTTTACCGCTGATACGATATGGCAAATATTCGGCAGTACCCCGGGTACTGTACGGGTCGCGCAAAAAAAGCGAGCCCGGCCCGATTTCAATCTTCGAAATGTTTCGCGTATAAATTAGGAATCGCATTCCGACGTTGCCATTCTTGGCACGGCGTTGCTGCTTCTTCTCGGAACCGACATTCCCGCGGTTCCAACCTGGAAAAAAACCGGGGCCGTTTTTCGTACTACTTGGGATTTTTCGGTCAGCCCCCAGCTTTGGCCAATTGCACTGTTGCCAGAACTTTCACCAGTTACATGGACCTGTGTCCAAACAACGGTTGGGGAAATTTTTGCGCATCCCCGGTAGGGTACAATTGTCTGTCGTAGTGAGCGGATATTGATGTTGGTTTCCTAGGCAACGCGGGTTTTTGCACATACGGGGACTATTCAAATGCACCCCATGTCAACGGAAGAAAACTGCTGAATGGGCACGGTTGCCGTAATTGCCCAAAAATCCGAGATAAACAGATGCAAAAATCGAGTTACTGTTACTACTTACTGAAACTCTATTTTAAAATAATGGCGCTTTTCAAGGAACCCTGTGATTCGAAGCGAATCTTTGAAGGAATTTGCCTCAAGCAGAGCAAGAAGAAGGAATTTCGCTGACGATCGAATTCAAGGCCTTTTCTACGTGTGGCTTGTTGGGCTAATGTCTGCTTATACGTAGTTTCCAGATTCCCCAGCAATTTGAAGCCGTAAGGGCCCTTTTCATTGACCTTTGAGTACAGCTTGGTCTCGAATCTTTAGAGCCATTGCCGGCGAAAGAGCTGATTCGACTGTATAATAATCGCTCAAAATGCCTCAGTTTGAGAGCTTAAGGGCATTTTACTTTTTCGAAACTGTGCGAAGATTACAGGAATAGTTTTAAGGAATTTGTCCAATCTTCCAGTGATTTGAAGGAGAAGGATTAGGATCAAGCTACAGAAACCTTACAGAGTGTAATTCTTCAATAATAGAAGAAGCGAGATTTTCAGCAGCCTTGAGTACCTACCTACCTACCGTTCTCTTTTGAAGGCTTAAAAAGGCTTATTTGCTGGCATCCTTGCGCGGTTGTTTCGTGCTAAATTTGTGAAGATTTTTTCAATTAGTTGATTAATTAATTTTCTCTATGACGCGCTGGTTGTGTTTGATCAAGACGACTTATCAGCCTTAGACCAGGGACAAAGTTTTCGATAAAACAGGCACTCTGAAAGTGATTTGATAAGATAGATGAAAGCAATAACATCCGAAAAGCAAACAGTCTAATCTTGACTTTGTCGCGTTTACAGTTTCCGTTTTACGGACGCAAAGTCGCCTACTGAAAAGTTGCCTGCGTGTGTTTGGCAATATGGTGCCGGAATTCGGCGTGTTTTCGCCCCAAACTCCCACAGACTGTAAGATCAGGCGAATTCGGTACCGGAAATTATTTGCACGGACCCTGTAAGGTGCAGGGCGGCGTGGCTTCGGCGAAATGCCAATCGCATTGGTTTTGATACCACTGTTTCCATGGACACCCCACAATACGGGGTGACGGTGAAAAGTACACACGCAGATGGGGAATTGACGGGCACTTACGAGTAATTCGGATAACCGCCAGTGCAGTCTTCATCTGAGGCCATCATTTGGAGCGTGTTGAACGGGGGAGAAAAAATCACTGTCCAACCGTTACCACATCACTGTACGAACGGATTCCGCACCACGGTACCTCGGAACCCGGTCCACTTCGCGCAATGGTACCCGAAAAATTATCCAGTATCCGACGGGAAACGAGCGTCGCTCGCGTATACTGATCGTAGAATCGGCTACGACGACGGTACGTACAAATCGACGTTTCAGGTACTACTACTATCGCGGTCTCGTTGGGTACCACCTCGATTTACCTGGGGCTACCTGTAGAGGTGCGCGCGCCGCTCAGTACCGCCACTTGGGGATTTTTTCGGGGCCCGGGGGACAGGTTAATTTATGAGAAGTACTTTTTAATTTACTTGTTGGAGTTGGAGCGGATGGTACCGAGACGATCGGCCGGACCTACACGTGGACTTGGAGATTTTTCCTTTCTGGGGAAGTTGCTCTTTTCGATCGTACCTACTCAATTTGAGGCGGCCCGATTTTCTAATTAAACTAGACTGTTCTTTGTGTGCGGCAAGGCTTGGGAGTTTTTGTCTTCGGTACCGACAACGTGGTATCAATTGTCAATGTTTTGCTACCATTTTGAGACAAACTTCAAGCCGGCCGTCGTTTGTTGGGTCTTTGGCAATTTCCACGCTTGGTACCCCAATGATTGAAGTAGTTGTAAATGTCAGGGGACCATTTTATTGCAAAATTCATCCCCTTTAGCCCACAGTTTTTCTTTTGCGAATGCAGCCAAACACCGCTTATTGATGAACAAAATACGAAGGCTTTAAGCTAGAGCCATGAGTTGGCTTTTCGAATACTTCTACCAGTACCCGCATGTTTGAACTAGTTGTGAAGGTTTCGGTACCATTTTACGGCCAATTTTAGCCTCTTTAAACGACCGTTTTTATTTTGCCAATCCGCCCACAAACAGTGCATTTACGCACAAAATAAGACGAGTTTACCAGAGTCATACCAATGTGACCTTTTGGCAATTCCTGCTCTTAGTACTCAAAATTATTGAATTGGTTCCCAAGATTTTTACAGTATTTTCCGGAAAATTTCATCCTCTAAACCACAGTTTTTCTTTTGCAAGGCCAGCCAGAAACAAAAGACATTTGTAGGTGTGTTGGCACTTCCAGGCTTCAACGCGTTCTAACGGTTTAGGTTCACCATTTAGGGCCAAATTCATCCTCTTTCAGAAAATGTTTTTGTCCCAAAAACACAGACAGTTTTAAGCCCTTCTACGGTCTCCAGTGCGTTTTCATTTGAAAATTTGAATTTGTTGTCCAGGCAGGATAATTTTTAAGTCAGCCCTCGTATATTAGACAGTGGTGTGGAAGGCGCGGCTGTTGCCATGGCTACTCTGCAGTTGATCCAATGAGATGCCAACATTTGAAGGCAATGGCGTGGCTTTGGAGTACAAGGGTTGATCAAAAGTGCTGAACCGCCACTGATTGCGAATTGCTGAAGAACCGCCTGGGAAAATCGCAGGCAGCGAGCAGAAGAAAAAAATATGTCGGCCACCAGTTATATCATTCAATTGTTTTCGAATTCACACATTCTGTGTGTCCGCCACGCCATTGTTGCGTACTTGTTTACATTTATGAATTTTATGATCGACCCAATTTTTCGTGGATTCGTAAGTACCGGAGGTGCCGCTTACGGGCTCCGGTACCTCATTTCTTCTGGCCGACTCATCCTGTTCCGCTTTTCGGTTTCCTTGTGCGATCCTTATCTGACCCTCCTTGGTTCCATTATTTGCATTTCGCTTTCACCTTAGAGTCGATGACGCCACCTGAAGTGGTACCAGTTTTTCTTTGTGTTCGGGAAAAGTGGTGGCTACTGAAGGAAATGCGGTGTTGATGGGTTCGATGCCATAAATAACCAAATCGTTTACTGTCAAAACGGGCCGAAATTATGCGCAGAACCCCCCCGGGTTCCCGGGTAATGGGCAGTAATTTAAATGCAAACAAGCGCGCACCCGGCCAGCAACTACCTGAGGGGGCCCCGAACGACACCTGAGCCCCCGACGGTAGCACGTCTAGTAGCCCGTGATAAAATCCGAAACAAAAGAAATCCGATACGATTATCGGAGACGTGCGCCAAAAACGACTGTTTTGTTTTGGGCGCGCGAGCACCTTTTGCTTTTTTGCTTTTTTCTCGGATTTGCCGCTGTTTTGCTTTTCATCGCCCGTGCTGAGAGTGGTGCCGTTTCGGGCGCTCCACTGTGACAATTAAGCAAAAACCCGCACAATGGAGCCGTTGATGCTGATGACGAATCAAATACCAGCAATTTCGGCACGTAATTGGCCCTTCGTGTCTCAATTATTTGCGTCGTTTAATTAGAACGTTTTGGGTCCCGCCCGTTCCAGATTAGCAAGAACAAATGTGGGAAAGTTCACTGAAATAACATCAGTTCCGTAGTTCAATCGGGTTTAAGTCTAACTTTTCTTGGACACCCTGTAGCACCAATCCGAATTGGCGTTAGGAAAAAAGGTACAACGTGGCAACGAGGCCTTTTCTTTAACCGCGTTCTATTATTCGTTTTGATTTAATTGCTATGCTTCTTGATCCTCTGGATGACTTTATTTGAATTATTGAATCAGCGTTGACACATTTACCCCTCATATGCTGCTTCAATAACTTTCTACACTGGATTTGGATTATTGAAAATGACTGAAATACCACGCGGTGTTCAGATATATTATGTTTTACAGAAATTTTGCTGGTTTATGGGCAATTTTAGCGACATTTTGCGCGCGTTTCAGTCTCATTTTAATGGAACATTAATTCTGTTTCATTCAACTAGTTTGCCCGTCAAAACCGTTATTAATTAGCAATTTTCATGGGGAAAATTTAATTAACTTGCACCAGATCAGCGACAATGCTCGCACGGTTTCTTTTGCTCTCGTCTGGGCGACTTTCTCATTGATTTAAACTGTGTTTGCCCGAAAATGGTTTCGAGCTGAAGAACACTTGATCACCATCTGAAGATGGTAGCCATGCGAGCTAGGAAAACGTCAGCACCAAATTGCTATCGACGACGACCTAATAATCCGAAAATATTCAATCATTTCATAGCTTTAACAGAAGTGAAGTTGGAAAGCGAAATAGAGTTGTAATCGATTCAACGTACTTAGTTTAAAATGCGCCTAAAAATATTTTTCGAAATTTGTCTTGCATGAAGCTTAAATATTTTAAGCGCTGACGGTGGCAGGTTGGAACGTAGCAACGCACCAGCCATTGCGTGCCTTTCATAGACTCCCATGAGTGCGAATGAGACTTCCGATGTGGGATGCGTTCCAGAATGCAAAAGTGCATCCGGAAATGTTCAAAAGTTTAATAGCAACTCGGGAGATTTTAGCGGTTTTTCATCGACCTTTAGGCCACAAAAATCACCAATCGTTCAAACGATGGTCAAATAATTACAAATTGGCAAGTTTCTTTCGCTCTTGTCGTTGCAATTTCTGATCCGATTTAGTTCGCAATTGGCTTTTCCTGAGCAGAACCAGTAGTGAAAGTGATCACGCACCCGCTCTACGGCAATGATCGTGATGATGATGATGATGATGACAAAATGGCGATTTTCATGTGTCGCGCATCGCTCTAAATGTCACACTAACTCGGTCACGGCTCTTTAGTTTGGGTTCCACGTGCCGATGCGCTTCGGGTACATTTCGCGTATCGCATCAGGTACCATCATCATCATCGAAGAAAGTTGATTTTTTCGGCTTATTTTATAATCTATATGGCCGCCAAGCGTTTTTATCAAGCACCCGCTCGTTTTCTAGACGGAGGTTCCGGTGAAAACAATCAAAATCGTCTGCACCATAATCAAACAAGTAGCATAACTTTACGATGGCGTGAACAAACAGAAGAACGCCAACAAGCGAGTTGGTTCGGACCGGAAGTGACGTTCCGGGTCAACGGAAGTGGGGTCGCGGGGTTGGAACCCAACAAGAACCATTCCGGACGGTTTGCGTGACTCGCAACGATAATACTGAAAATGACAAATAAATCCGCTCAAGATGATAATTGTTTGCATAATTTCGACGAATATGACGAAGAAATATCTGCCTAATGGTTCCCCATCGCGAAGAAACTGTACCTGCCGTGATGGTGGTACGCGATAAGACCGATTTCTTTTCATTTTAATAATATTAAAACCGAAACAGTTAAATATGTGTGAACTTTCAACTAATTGCGAATTAAAATGGAGTTCCTTCCTCTACGTGAACAGTTAGTAGACAGTGATGAAGAAAAATGCCTTCTAAAGGTAGCGTCATTCGCCGTCAGCACCAATCGACTTGCAGCCCATTAGTTTTCTATTCAATGACATGTGACGTTCCAGTCAGTTTGGACTGATCTGATTGTTTCGACAGCAAACTGACAGGAAATGACAGCGTGGAAACTAACGGATTTTGGATAGAGGAATCCAATAGAGTATTCATTTGAACATGTTGTACGGTTGCAGATTTGGCAACTGGCAACTGGCAAGGTTGCCGTATTTTCAATTCATTGATTGAAAATTGCGAAAATTCGTTCTTTGTCAATAGTAGACATTGAAAACTTCAAGTTTTGCGCTTTGATTAATTGGAATTATCACGTTGACATATGCGATTTGGGGCGTTTTTCAATTTGACACCTCCGACAGTTTGTCGAGAATGTTGTCACTTTTGACAGTTTGATGTTGAATGGTATAGCTCGGTTTGATGGGGTCGATAGGGATGGTGCGGACGGTCCACGGTCAGGTCGTAACCTTGCGTTCATCCGAACAAAAGATCCCACACTTAAAAAAAAGCTCCCATGGAAGTGCGGAAATTTTACCTCAATTATGGTGTTCAAGGAGAGGTTGAACCCCGGCCGGTCGCTCCCCCGCTTGCGCCGCCACCCCCCCGCAGAATTAGATCTAGATGATGAGGATTTCTTTTTAATTGCCGTATAATTTTCTAGGTCGCGGAAGCCTTTCTATCTCACCGTTTGTGGTTGCGTTAGGTTTTTTTCCAATGGAAATTAGGTTTTTCAAACGGATCAGCTCTATGCGGTTTATTGACAGTTCTGGACAACTAGCGTCATTTTTCTGTCGCAAATGTCAAGAACTTGTTATCGTCGATGGCGAGTGCGGCAGCAATACAAAACGGTACTTTGACAAATTCTCGACAGTTGTGACAACTAACGTCATTATACTGACAAGGCAGCCAGTCGTTTACGAGATTCCCTATCAAAGTTGCAGGAATTCTGGATTTTTTA